TGATCCTGTTTGTCTCGCGTAGAGCTCATAACACCCGATGGTAAAGTTTGTTTTGCAAAATCAATTGAACGGCGATTCAAGACCCTAGGCAAGGTAAACTTTGTTTTAATCACACTGCCCACTGAGCCCACAGCTGTTCCCACATGCATCTGCAAGCATAACAACAACAGGGTAAGTCGCCCCCGCCACACTTTGCCGCATGGAGCACGGCTTCGGGTGCCCGTTGCAACGTCAATGGCCATCAAGTTCCTTCACGTGCGTTCACCGGGCATGCGAAATGCAGTCAATCACATCCCCGGCATGAAGGTGCCCCGAAGCTAACCGTGAAGCACGATCAGCACCCGATATGGCCTCATCCATCCCGAACACGGAGCTGACCTCTTGCGACGCCCGCGATGCCGACAGCCCATCCCACGCGTCCGGCCCATCTCAAGTAATCAACACCTCGACGCGTACGGCCAAAACTCGTCAGCCTCGCCAGCCCTCCCTAGCTGCCGCCACCGCACCGCCACGACGTTTCTTCGACCCCTGGAACAGCTCCAGTACAGGCCATCAGCGCGCTGAGAATCGCCTCTCTGGTTCTACGTCATGGCGCGCGTCGCGGAGCCTCAAGCTGGGAGAGCAGTTCAAGGGTGGTAGGCACGGAGGTAGACGGGTCGCCGACACGGTTGGCGCGGGCAGTGAGGACTTTGGCAAGGATGGTCGCAAGGACAACGGCAGCTGGGAGAAGGGCGCAAAAGGTCTCAGGACAGGAGGACAGAAGAGCCTGGCCGAGGTATGGGCTGCGAGCAAGGCAGGCAGGAAGCAGTCCCAACAGAAAGACACCAAATGTGTTGCCATGAACGCGCATGACATGTCCAACCATGGGCAGACGAATGCGCCTCCAGTGTCCTCTGATGCAGGAACAGAACCAGATGCGCATGTCCACAGCGACCTCTCTCAATCCTCGTCAAAGCCTCCTGAGAACCAGATCTTCGCCGGACTCTGCTTCTACCTCAACGGCTCGACCGCTCCCCTAGTCTCTGACCACAAGCTCAAGCAGCTCTGCGCCGCTCACGGCGCTAGACACTCGATATCACTAGGCCGTCGAACCGTAACGCATGTCATTCTTGGAAGAGTAAATGCAAACGGCGGCGCAGGCGGTGGCTTGGCTGCAACCAAAATCCAAAAGGAGATTACTAGGACGGGCGGCAAAGCTGTCAAGTTTATCAACGCAGAGTGGTAAGTAAGCTTTGCACATCTCCCGCTCTGCCTTTCTCTCTGTGTTTCACATCCGATTGCGCACAATCAGAGTTCATGCATAACACCTGCCGTGGCATTCACTCAATTGACATGTGCAGGGTCCTGGACAGTATCAAAGCAAATCGGCGCCTCCTAGAGTCACGCTACTCGCCGCTGAAGCTGGCGCCCAGCACTCAAAACAGCATTTTTGGCATGATGGGCGCAGCAAGTTCAAAGCAGGAGCAGGGATGAAGCCAACCTCTCTTTGCAGCAACTCTCCCGGATCGACGAGGTTTGCCGTTGATGCCTCGCCTGACGTGCCAGGACTAAGAGGAATACGGAATATGCCAGAACCAAAAGGGCAAAATTCCTTTGTTACAAAAGACCCTTGAACGATAACAAACTTTCGGTACTCGAAACCGCATCACATGAGCTCGTGGTGATCCACTTCTGTTCACTGAAACGTTGTTTGTGGGGAAGTCGGGTCCGACGTCGATCAACAACTTAACAATCATGAACCCTTGAAAACCTTAAGTGGCGCGATAACGTGGCGCCATGTTCGCGCAGAGTCATTAGTTTTGTTACTCACGCCATACCTGCCATGGCTTCCCAGTCCCGAACTCTGTTTCTTCAATGGTAGCGGCAGCGGCTCGACTTGGCCTATTACGCACTAGCGTGGTTTGGTTATCACATTCTGAAAGCGAAAGAAGAAGAAGTTTCCAACCCACAAAGCTTCTTGCTCGTTGCTCTGTAGTGTACCGTGTTGTCCTTTTTCTTGTAGGGTAGCCGGTTGCACTTCACCAGCGTAGTGCTGTTATCTCTTCAAACGCGGATGCTTCCGCTAATGGCGCGATTGCTGTCATGGAACCGGTTGGTGCGCCGCTGGAACCCACTGGCGTGAACTCTTTGTCTGTCAAAACAATCGAGTCCGGGTTCGTTCGGTTCCTTGAAACGTCCGGACTTTTGCCGTAGAAATTCAGCGGTTCCTCAACGATCGCTAGTACCTTGATAGCCGTGGACCCTGCCTGTCAGGGTAAGTTCCGTGTTGGTCCCTCGAGGGTTTTTGCTGAGCTTGTTGCGTGACTCGAAAGCGGATGGCGGATGATCTCTTTGGGGTAGACCGTGATAGCCCCACTAAGAAATCTATTGTTACATGTTTATTGTACTTTTCTGCGCCTGAAATTCCGGTGAAGGCTGTTTCGCTGCTATCTAGCCTGTCGAAACCGTAGTTGCGGATGTAACGGGCGATGTGTGCTGGTGTCGAGAGAATAGTATGTGATAATGAAGTGCACTAATGTCTTTGGATGATTTGTTGAGTGTCTGTGTTCAAGTCACGCATAAAAAGCAGTAGTTTGATACTAACGATTACAGGAGGTAAGTCTGAATGACTACCCTGTATGATTCGCAGACTACAACCTTCAATATCACCATCACCCCACTCAGCACTCTCGTTATTGACAGGCATGGCCACAGTGTCGGTCAGCTTGCTTTACAAGAGTAAACCACTCTGTTTAGCCACAATGTGTCGAGTGCCGCAATACGCTAAATCTGTTCTAAAGTTTTCTGTGCGCGAAAAACGATACAAGAAGATCAGAGCGGGAGTACATGCGTAGGAAAATCTTGAAGTATACGAATCGACTAAAGCTTGTACTTACTACAGGAACACAACAAGAGAACCACCAGACTAAAACATAAAAACCTCACTTTATCGTGTAGTGTTTAGACCATACCTGTTGTGATAACATCTGAAATTGTATTTTGACATTAGAAAACACTATATATCATGACGCAGTCATACGAATGTAGTAACAAAGCGTTTTGCACTTCATAGTACCAGCTAGCGCGTGTGCATTGAAAACGCCGTAAGCCAGCAGGTATCACTATTCCATGAACGCCAGCTTCCCGTGCACAAAAATCCGACTTTGTCCTCCAAGCAACAACCAGTTTCCCTTAACCAGCTGTCCTCGGCTTAGCCTTGGCCTGCTTCTTCGCCTTCGCGTCAGCCTTTTGCTTCTTTTTCTTCTCTTCAAGCTTCTCCTCAGCCTTGCGTTTCAGACTGGCCTTCTCCTCGGCCGTCTTCTCAATGGGCTTAAAGAAACCCTCCAACCTGCTCTGTTGCGCTGTCTTCATGTTCTTCTGTAGCTTGGCTGCTCCATTGCGTACTCTGTCCTCGTTGAAATGCTTCTCCTCGACCAGGAACTTAACAAGACCTTCTACGTCTGGGGCTTCCCACTTGAAGTCGCATTCTGGGTCATCGGCAGGTCGGACGTCTGGTTCAAGGAAGAGCAGGCGCGCATCGGCGAAGGGCCAGTCGTCGGGGATAGTGAGTTTCTTGGAGGATTGGGACTTGATGTGTTCAACGACACCTTCCAGGTCATTATGCTCGCGGATGAGCTTGAGAGCGGTGCTGGGGCCAATGCCTTTGATAGGGTCGAGATAGTCACAGCCGAGGAGGATACAGAGGTCGATGAACTGGAAAGTGGTTAGTAGGTGAGAGTTTGGAAGCGCCCTTGGATGCCGTACCTGTTTCCGCTCCATGTTCAAGCCTTCGAGTACCTTGTCCAGATGAATCTCCAGAATGGGTTCTTTGCGTTGCTCGCTGAAGGTCAGATGTCGCAGCAGGATGGGTGAATCGAAGGTCAAGGTGTCCATATCCTCTGAAGCAGCGGCGTAGACCTTACCGCCTCTCGCCAATGTCGCGCATTGGGCTTCAGCTTCAGTCGGCGCAACAATGTACGGGATGCCCATGAGCTTGAGCAGGCGCTGACACTCCTCGTTGTGTTCCCTCGTCACCCTGACGGTCCGCCGCGAGAACTTCTCGACGTCTTCGGCTGTACCTGTCTCTTTTGCCTCCTCAGCCGCAGCGTGTGCCTCTGTCTTGCGCTGAAACCGCTTCGCGAGCTCGCCGGACTTGAGCTTGGGTGGAGCGCCGTCGAAGACGTAGAGGGGCTTGATACCGTTGTCGACCATGCGCATCGTGCGGTAGAAGAGACCCATGAGATGTGATGTGGTTTCGCCTGTCTCGCTCATGAGCTGCTGACCATCAGATCGGACAGCGATGAGGAAACTGTAGATGCTCATAGATCTACACGATGTTAGGTTCGAAGCGTCATTTGAGATTTGGTATATGCATACGCATCCTGCACACGTTAGCAAGTGACCTATTACTCCGAGAATGCTGCGAACGAACTATGGCAACTTTGCGTCCAAACTGGTTCTTGATCTCGCCCTTCTTGACTGCCTCGGGCGCATGCTCCTCGATGAGCTGGTAAAGGTGTTTAATACCCATCTCTGATGTTTGCCCTAGTGCGTGAGTGTGTATCGAATAGAGCTTGGCGATGTCGTAGCCCTAGATTGTTGTGTGTAGAAGCGTAGGCGAGGGCGTGGAGGCTGGAGGAAGTGACGCCAACCATTATCACGACGCGTCCGCGTCTCACGCGCAATCACGGTCTACATTCCTTGGCACTGCTACCCCACATATCGCCCGTCATCGCTTAGTGAGGCTCAGCAGGCATTCTCTGGGGATGCATCTCGAATCCTGTATTTAATCTCGCCAGATCTTATTAGACGCCCCAGACGCTCCAGGCGCCGCGTGTTTGATGTGATGATGCTGGCTTTATTGCCACCGCGCGCGGAGTGCTTCCGAACCGCGGTTCTTTCTACGTGGGGTTTTCCGAGGCCAACATCATCCAATTACGGATATCTTCGTTTCGACCCTAGTATAATAGTCACTCTTGTGTAGCCAGAAGACTTTCTTCATCCTTGATCACGACTTCAACATGCTTCGACCAACATACAGACATGCCACCCGGCAATTGCGCACTCCACTCCGATCCGCGGCTCTCGGCAAACGACACTTACATGCTCCTGTGAAGTTTGACTGGCAAGACCCATTAAACACAAGCAACTTGTTTACAGAAGAAGAGCAAGCCATCTCAGAAACGGCTGAATCATATTGCCAGGAGCGTATGCTTCCGAGAGTGCTAGGTACGCGAGACATTGCCTCGGTCTCTATAGCCAGCTGACGTAGCTCAGAGGCATATCGCAATGAGAACTTTGACAGAAAGATCATCGAAGAGATGGGTGAGCTGGGACTGCTGGGTGCAAGCATACAAGGCTATGAGTGTGCCGGGGTTAGCAGCGTTGCTGCAGGCTTGATCACCAGAGCCGTGGAGAGGGTTGACTCAGGTTATCGTTCAGGCTACTCTGTTCAAAGTTCACTTGCTATGGGTGGTATTGAGGAGTTTGGATCTGAAGAACTAAAAGGACGCCTGCTGCCAAAGATGGCCAAGGGCCAGTTGCTTGGTTGCTTTGGCCTGACTGAGCCTAACCACGGATCCGATCCAGGCTCTTTGGAGACGGTTGCGAAGCCTCATCCTACGAAGAAAGGTTACTACTCATTGTCTGGTTCAAAGACCTGGATTACAAACTCGCCCATTGCCGATGTCCTCCTTGTCTGGGCGAAGCTGCAGAGTACGGGCAAAATCCGTGGCTTTGTCATTGAGCGCGACCAATGTCCACCCGGTACTCTCGAAACTCCGCCAATCAAGAACAAGAATGGTCTACGGGCGTCCATCACTGGTATGATTCAGCTCGACGAATGCCCCGTGTCCGAGGCAAACATGTTTCCGGAAGTGGAGGGATTGAAGGGTCCCTTCAGCTGTCTCAATTCAGCCAGATATGGGATTGCCTGGGGCACCATTGGTGCTCTCGAAGACTGCATCGCAAGGACCCGAGAGTATGCACTAGAGAGGAAGCAGTTTAAGAATAACCCGATTGCCAAATACCAGCTTGTGCAGAAGAAGCTGGCTGATGCTACGACGGATGCTGCGTATGGTATTCTGGCTGCCCATCAAGTCGGACGCCTGAAGGACGAAGGTAAAGCTGCGCCAGAGATGATTTCTATGATCAAGAGACAGAACTGTGACCGAGCGTTGATCAACGCGCGAACGTAAGTTGTACTAAGCGCTTGCATGAAATTGTATTGACTGTGGGCAGACTGCAAGAAGTGTTTGGTGGAAATGCAGTATCGGATGAGTACGGAATCGGAAGGCATGTCGCCAACTTGTTTGTGACACAGACATACGAAGGCCAGAGCGACATCCACTGTGAGTCTAACAGAAACACGACGGTGATTTTGGCTAATTCAAAACAGCTTTGATCCTCGGTCGAGCCATTACTGGATTACAGGCCTTCTGCTGATTGTAGCGAGGTTGCTCCAACTTGAGAATCTTTCCTGCTGTTGCTGTACTACCAACAAAAGTGTATGAAGGCGCATCCAATCACAAGTAGCACGTTAGCTGTAGGCGCCTAGAGATGTTATGCATGCAGACAGAGTTTATCTAGAAGTAGACGCGCATCAAACCATGTGAAGGTCGATGCACGCTCCCGAGTTGGCCTCGAACACGGCAAGTGTCACTTCTGACTGCTCGTATCCACAGTGCAGTTCGCCACGCGAGTTCAGGTCGAGCGACTGACCAATGTACGGTGACTAAGTGCAGTCAAAGACGACTGTGAAGGTACATGTCAGCCTTGACGTATCTTCTTGCGTCTTCGATAGGTTGCCACCAAGCGCGGTTAGCTGCACAGGGTAGAAACGCTCGGTGAATTTTGTGGGCAGCGACACTGTGCAGTTGGGCGGTCAGCTCTGTGTTGCCGCTTTGCGGCTGGGTCTGACACATGATAAATACAAACGCCCCTGCCTGAGTCCCATACTGCAGACTTTCTCTTTGCACATCTCGGCCGCCTGTCTTGCACCCACAGCGAGTCTTAGGTACGTGAAGGCGTGTGGCGGGTGAGCCTTCCGCTGATACGCCGCACTTGCTTTCTTTGGACCCCCGCTAACTAACCGCCTTGCCTGCGCAGACATCCCACTTCAACTCTTCAACACCAACTCGCTCTACCGCAACAACCGCGATACCCTCCCATACCAACCCACACACATACACACAGCAGCCATGGCTCTCAAGCGCATCAACAAGGAGCTCACCGATCTCGGCCGGTACGTGATATCCTTTCCCTCGACGGCGAGGCTCGCTTGCTCTCTTTTGCTCGCATGGGCAGCGGCATGGCAGCGGCATGGCAGCGACCGGGTGCGAGGCCATACGCCAGAACCCGACGCTGCTGCTTCGCAAGACGACCAAGAGTGGAATATTTGGCTGACACCCTTCCTCTAGTGACCCTCCCTCTTCCTGTTCGGCTGGCCCTATTGGAGATGATCTGGTACGTCACTCTCGTGCACGACTCCCGCGGTTGACACTCTCACCGACATAGTCGTGGAAAAAAGAGACAAGGCCAAACACATGCTAACTGTGCGGCAGTTTCACTGGCAAGCAACCATCATGGGTCCTGGCGACTCACCATATTCCGGCGGTGTCTTCTTCCTAGCGATCCATTTCCCAACCGACTACCCCTTCAAGCCCCCAAAGGTCAACTTCACCACCCGCATCTACCACCCCAACATCAACTCCAACGGCAGCATCTGTTTGGACATTCTGCGAGATCAATGGAGCCCAGCCCTCACCATCTCAAAGGGTAGGCCATCTTGAAATTCCCACGGGAATCCATAATCCATGCTAACGAAAATTGTAGTGCTACTGAGTATCTGCTCGATGCTGACAGACCCGAACCCTGACGACCCGCTCGTCCCCGAGATCGCACACGTCTACAAGACCGACCGGTCCCGCTACGAATCGACAGCGCGTGAGTGGACTCGAAAGTACGCCATCTAGTTTGAGCGGACGCAAGACTGGTGGCGGAGCGTGGTTTCGTTAGCACCTGTGATGGGTTATGAGACGATGGTTAGGGTCGATTTCAAGGCACAGTGTCTGATGGGGGTTTCTTGTACACGGCATGCATGCTGGACTGCGTTCATAGCACTGGCTATCATCACTCTTAGCAGAACAGGCTCGATTTCTTTATCCGAGATGCGCAGATGTGAAGGTTTCAATATCATGGTGATCTCACATTTTGGGGGCTTCGGCGAAGCAGATTAGGCTTTCTTCACGTCATCGCCTTGTCCTTTTATGTTGTTATTGTCTCTTTGGCTTGTGATTCCTCCTCGACCGCCGGCATGCCTGGGATAGTAGCCATTGCATCACCGTGCGCTAACGCTAATGCCTTCTCTGCTTTTTTGCTCAACCGCTCATTCATCTCATCCGTAAGCCTCTGCCAATCTCTATCCCTTTGCTCTCTTGCTAACCGTTGTTTAGTCTCTTCTTCTTCTTCGTTTGTCTTCAGCACCTCTCCGTTTGCAGGTTGTGGTAGCATCGACTGCCCCAATTGATCCGCCCCCCTGACTGCATCTGCCTTTTGAGAAAGCATTTTAGCTTGCTTCTTCTCTAGGTCTCGGCCGTATTCTTGTAGTTTTCGACGGCGTTCGAGTTGCAACAAGTACGAGTTGCCTACCAGGGGAGCGAGTAGAGATGGCCTTGTGTTCATGTTGGTGTCGTTAACGAGGCGATAATGCAGATCTCGGAGGGTGACTTGAACATGCTTGATAGCCACGCCTTTGCGACCGAGGTCGTTCGTCTCGTCGGCGGGGTCGCGGAGGGAAAGCATGTAGTCGGGCAGGGGATCGAGTTTTCCATTCTAGATAGTCGTTAGCATGTGTGAGAAGAAGAAGAAGAAGAAGAAGAAGAAGAAGAAGAAGAAGAAGAAGAAGAAGAAGAACTGAGTGAATTCGTACCTTCCATTTGGCCTTCTGTACGTCAGTAAGGACAGGATACTCCGCTTTGTCGTAGAAGTAAGCCGGTTCAATAGAAATACCCCGCTTTGCTGTATTGAAATTGCCCCAGAAGTGGAGAAAGTTGAGGAGAGCTCGTGCGGAATCTCCTGGCGGACTCGGCGAATGCTTTATGCTAGCGACGACCATCATGAACAACGGGTATGTCCCAAAACCGCCCCGAAAAACGTCCGACAGGCCCCTTGTGTTGAAGATGGTCTTGACCACGCAGTATAACTCCCGCAGATAGGGTATCTCATCCATGTAGCCTTGCATGATAACTCTTGAGACCGACGTGTCGTTTGCAAGTACAACCTGAATATCCAAGCCAGACTGCCCGTCCTGCACGCTGATGAGGGGATAACGTGCATGACGAACCACAGGCAACGTATACTCCTTGTTGGTGCGGAATTCTGCATGGCGTAAGCTCTGAAGCATCTTGATGTTCTTGGTTCGCTGTCTTTGGCTCGGTGGAAGTCTCGCATGCGCAGGGTCTAGCGACTCCGACTTTGGTACCAGTCTAAAGTCTAGGTCTGATAAAGGCATGCTTATACCAGTTCGTTCCGATCCGAACACTTCAACTTTGTAGTCTGGGATCGATTTTCGAAGGTGGTTGCGCACCTGTTCGACGACGTGTTTCCTGGCAAGAGTTTCGTGGTGGTCGGGCGTGGTGTAGTTGTAGAATTTTGTGATTTCCAAGCGCAAACTGGAGATGTCTTTAGCATAGCACTATCAGTTGGAAGGTCAGTTTCGAGACATACCGACTAATTCCTGGCAGCGCTCTGTCCTTATCGTTCAGACACCATGGAAGTTGGCTTTCCTTGATAGACGTCTCGCTCATCATGGGCTTCACAATGACGCCCTTGTAACTCTGCAATTTACTATGCGCGTGTCTTGCGGCGGCCAGCAGTTTCTCATGCTCTTTGGGCAAGGCCTCGAGCGCTTCTCTTCGCAATTTTTTGTTTTTGGCAATCGAAACCGCGACCTTGCTGGACAGCCACGGCCCTTTATCTGTTTTCATCATCCTCAGGTTCCATGGCTTTGCGGTCGGTTCCTTTTCCGGCTCTCTTGTTTCTACGTGAGATGGTTGGGCATCGCGAGCCTCGGGAGAAGTCGCGGATTCGGGTTCGGCATGCTTGCCAGGGGCGGTGGCATCATGTTGCGTAGCTGGCGTCGCAGTGGAGAGCTGGCGCCGGTCGCGGGGTTTGGATGGATTGGCTTGGACAAAGTGCTGCCACAGCGCAATTGATGGATTGAAGCGGTCGTGGGCGCGACATGTCAGCCCGGTGTGCGAGCGCTGCATGAGGCCCAGGGTAACGCCGGCGACTCGCAATGCGGTCACGATGGTGGTGTTCCTCACTCTACACGAATCTTGTCCATGCGTCTTCGCGCGCACCGTGCCAAGCATCTAGTCCGCTTTGGGCCGACGAGGCTACGGCGGAGAATAGGCACTCCCGCGGGCATGCTGCACTGCCAATCGCTCTTGCATGCACCCGGCGTTTGACAGCTTGACACGTCTATTGTTAGCCCTCCATCTGCCATGTCCGCTGTGTGAAGAAGCTGTGTGAGCCGGCCAGACTGGCCCCAGTACCCCGCAGGCAGAGGCCGGCCCACGATGTTGTCTCCGTCGGTCCACTTGCAGCACTTGCTCAGGCCCACACCCTCGTCCGATATGAAAGCTGCCTGACATCATATTGACATTCTCAACAAAACTTCGCGAAGCGGTCAAGAAGCGGAGCGCGTGGAGGCACGAGCAGTCAGTAATCGTGCGCTGCTATCCTTGCTTGCAGCAGAGACAGCGAGGCCCAAGCTGCTCGGTTCCAACGTCACAGCTATGGCTTAGTGGGGCGTGAACCATCCCACCACGGCCAGCTTTTCTTCCCCCATTGCCCTTCTCAAGTTTCTATCAGCTTCTCGACACACGTCGTGTCTTCGCGCCCTTCTCTTTTTCCCACACCCCTTCGTTCAGGTCCCCTAGATTCCCCTCGTTCTGTGACGCCCGCAGCGCAAGACCTTTGCGGAGCTCCTTCCTCTGACTATCTGGCAGTACAGCGACTCCAAGACACCAGGTAATACATGTTTCCACACCCATCTTTTGGTTGCGCCGCTCGCCTGCCACCTGGCATACCTCTCTTACCTCTTATCATGCCTCCTGTCATCTTCTCGTCTACAACTTTCTAACATTTCCATGTATAGCAGCATAACGGAACCTGCCTATTCCCATCATGGCCCCTCCTGCAGAGGAGAAGCCTCAAAGGCCTCAATTCGAATCAAAAGCAAGCACACATCCCGCACTCAACCCCGAAATTACCAATGTGCCCGTCACACCCGGCGTGCATCTCTCTGGCAAGACCGCTTACTTTGACGAGTCCACTACCGAGAAGACGAACAATCTGCCCTTCGATCCCGAGACTGCCACCCCAGGCCCATCATGGAGCGCCAACTCCTACTTCTCCAACCAGCAAAGAGAGGACCAGGCTGGCGCACAGACAGAGAAGGCCGCGGGCGCACAATCTGATGGAGAGGTCAAAAGCAAAATGGGCGACACTCCCAACCCAGATGCGAAGACTGAACTGGCAGATGTAGATCCGCGTGCTGCGCATCCTAATCTGAACCTAAGCGGCCGTGTTATCAGTGCGACGTTTGCCATACCCTATTCTATCGGCTACTCACAAGGTAACGACTGGGAACTGACCCCGCGACGCGGAACTTCAGCTCTGTTCGATTCCTTCTCCTACCTAGCCTCAAGTTCCTCTCCGTGGAATCACACACTTGTGGGCTGGACTGGCGAGATCTCCAACGCGAAGACGGCTTCTGTCGTAACCGCACAGGCCCCTACGAACAAAGCTGCCGCACCCATTCCCGTCGACCCCAAGAAGCCGACACAAACTCCTCAAGCTCCAAATAGCTTCCGTATAGGCCCAGAGGATCGTGAACGATTAGACAAACAGCTCGAGCGTGATCACGGAGGCAGAATTGTGCCAGTCTGGCTCGTCGACGAGGTTGATGATGGGAAAGATGAATACATCCTGAAAAACCAGAGTCATTGGCGGACATACGCGGAAAACGAGCTCTACACTCTGTTCCACTACAAGCAAAACGAGCCGGCTGATGGGCGCGCTGCACGGAAGTCGTGGGCCGATTACTACCGCATGAATAAGCTTTTCGCAGACAGGATCCTCGAGATCTACAAGCCGGGCGACATCGTCATGGTGCACGACTTTTACTTGATGCTCTTGCCGAGCTTACTTCGACAACGCCTACCAAGTGTCTACATTGGCTTCTATTTGCACATCCCCTTCCCTAGTAGCGAGTTCTACCGCTGCTTGAGCCGGCGGAAAGAGATTCTGGAGGGCGTGTTAGGTGCCAACATGATCGGTTTCCAGTCATACAGCTACTCGCGACACTTCTCGTCCTGTTGTACTAGGATACTGGGTTTCGATTCGTCTTCCACAGGAGTCGACGCCTATGGTGCTCATGTAGCGGTAGATGTGTTCCCCATTGGTATCAACGCAGTCTCGACGCAACGACAGGCTTTCGGCGACCCAGAGATCGATGAGAAACTCAAAGACATCCGTGAGATGTATGCTGGCAAGAAACTCATTGTCGGTCGTGACAGGCTAGATGCTGTCCGTGGAGTAGTCCAGAAGCTTCAGGCATTCCAGCTATTCCTCGAGAAATATCCTGAGTGGGTAGGCAAAGTAGTACTCATTCAGGTTACAAGTCCTAGCGGAGTGCATACGGACAGAAGCGATGGCGCACAGGAAAAGGTAGTCAACAAGATCTCGGACCTTGCGGCCAAGATTAACGGCACATACGGTACACTCGACTTCACTCCAGTCCGTCACTTCCCACAATATCTTTCCCGAGAAGAGTACTTTGCTCTGCTCCGACTTGCAGACATTGGCCTTATCACCAGCGTGCGAGACGGTATGAACACCACCAGCATGGAATACATCATTTGCCAAAAGGATAACCACGGCCCGCTCATTCTCTCGGAATTCTCTGGTACATCAAGTTCCCTCAGCGCCGCAAGTCACATCAACCCCTGGGACATGGGCGGAGTTGCTGATGCGATCAACGATGCTCTGAAGCAGAGTGACGAACATCGCGCCGATGTTCATGCTCAACTTTACAAACACGTCGTACAGAATAATGTTCAGGCTTGGTCGAACAATTACCTGAAGCGTTTGATGACGAATCTTTCATCTTTTGATCAAGCGTTCGCTACACCGGCATTGGATCGGGCAAAGCTACTCTTCCAATACCGTGAAGCCAAGAAGCGGCTTTTCATGTTCGACTATGATGGTACCCTGACGCCCATTGTCAAGGACCCACAAGCAGCTATTCCATCTGATCGAGTCATCCGCACTCTCAAGACTCTGGCAGCAGACCCTGCCAATGCTGTTTGGATTATCAGCGGCAGAGATCAGGCTTTCCTGGATGAATGGATGGGTCACATCCCCGAGCTCGGTCTGAGTGCCGAGCATGGCAGCTTTATGCGACATCCACGCAGTCAGGAATGGCACAATCTGACCGAAACTACCGATATGAGCTGGCAACAGGAAGTCATTGATGTGTTCCAACACTATACAGAGAGAACTCAAGGTGAGCTTTCTACGTTCTTCGCCAACAAATTTAGCACTAACAGATGAACAGGTTCCTTTATCGAACGCAAGAAGATTGCTCTAACGTGGCACTACCGGAGAGCCGACCCCGAATACGGCGCATTCCAGGCGCGTGAGTGCCAGAAACACCTCGAGAGGACCGTTGCAAAGAAGCACGACGTCGAGGTTATGACAGGCAAAGCCAACCTTGAGGTTCGTCCGAAGTTTGTGAACAAGGGCGAGATTGCGAAGACACTTGTGCAGAACTACGGCGAAGGTAGCGGTAATGCACCTGAGTTTGTTCTCTGCATGGGTGATGACTTTACAGACGAAGGTATGCATTGCACTTTGAGGTTTTCCGGCCATTCCGCTAATACGTATAGACATGTTCCGATCGCTGCGACAGTCCAAACTGCCAACGGATCACGTATTCTCGGTCACTGTTGGCGCCAGCTCGAAGCAAACGTTGGCGAGCTGGCATCTAGTCGAGCCTTCGGATGTCATTTCTGTGATCTCGTTGCTAAACGGATCGGCCGACGCAGGCAATGTTGGCGCGATTGCTGTTGTCGACGGAACGGTTCCTGAGTCTCGGGTGGCTGCATGAGGTCATAGGGCGAGGAGGCACTGACAAGCAATTTCAACTGTAATGGAGCACGGAGCATGGGGAGGCTATAGATCTACGAAATGCGGCATGGCGATCCCGGGGGTTTTCTAGCACTGGGTCTGGAAGAAGCAATCACATCCTATGTCATGATAGTCGTCCTCAAACTGCACCTGCGTGGAGGAACATCTCTGTGTTGCGATCGACGATTGCTACCCGGTGGATAATTCTGCTGCATGGCGATTACCAATGCGCCCCTGGGACGAGCGTCTGCTGCCAAGGCGGTGGCGGTCGGCACGTCTGGGGCCTCGCCCAAGACCCCTGATTCCCACGTGAGAGCTGACTCGGGAGCCACAAAACCTTGGGATGCGAACAGTGGGAGCGTCGAGGGGTTTGAGCCTTTCGGAGAGATTTCCGCAGCACGCGAGAATTTGTAAGACGCCCAGGACACCAAGCGACAGCTCGCCGCACCTCACAACAGCAATCTCTACGTCGGCAAGACAGGCACAGCACACGAAAGCGGCCCACGACTCACGATTCCGCAACACGGGCACGATGGCTTCTCTAGGCCTGGTATGTTTTGGCTTTCGGCTTTACTAGCCCACATTTATGCAACTTGGGGTTCGAGAACCGCCAGTGCATGAAACCTGGAACGCCTAGCAGTCGTCCCGCCCCAACAGCCTATCCGAGGCATGTTCCTCCTTCCTCTTGGAACTGCGTACCGTTGTCGTTGATCCGTCTTTTACCAGCCATTCCGTTCCTTTTTGACCACTCGTTGTCCCTCCGCCCTGCGTCGACACTCGTTTACCAGCTGTACTCCCACCCACTTATTTTGAGCGACAATCTTATATTAGTGAAGCGCATCGCTGAATAACACAAATCAACACCTGGTCTGACCTCGATCCGATACTGCATCTGCAACAGCGCAACAGGGAACTGGCTGGCGAGCACCTTGCGACATTACAACCGTGCCATATCTACAATACGCCTCTCCTTGGTATTCCTTCTTCGACAAACACCATATCTCTCGGCGCGCGGATAACAAGGCACAACAAATTCCACACAATACACAATGGGTCTCATGGAGAAGCTGCA